TCAGCTGAAAGTGTGTGATCACACACGGCGTTGCAGTTGTTGAGTAGAAAAAGGAGAACCTACTAGCGATGGCCTCCAATCTAATAGCGATGGCCTCGAACCCCAATAGCGATGGCCTCCAACCTAATAGGGACAGCATGGGATAGCCTCCAACTAATAGCAATAGCCTCACAGCACGTTTCTCCTTAAAGGAGACCTCCATCCGCTTCGCAGCATTGCCGGAGATTTCTTAGTTGTGAACGGATGGGCCTTGTTTTGCAAGGTACCTGGCATGAGCGAGGAACTGCTGCAACGAGTAAGCTCGAACATGCCTCAGAGAGCTCGTCAATTGGGTTCCCAGAATCTTTGGGAAACTTAACTACTAGCGATGGCCTCCAAGCTAATAGCATATTGGTAAACTTTTGCCCTTTCATTCTGCCAAGACTGATCTAAGGCCTGGTGGTAGTTTGGAGGAAAAACTTGAAGAAGTGATCAATGTCTTCCAAAGTGGCGCGCGACATCTCGAGAGCTTGCAGCAGGTGCTAAGGTGCAATGCAGTCTTTTTTCCTGAATGTTTTGAGTGAAAGGGTCCGGTATTTTTTGAGGCCATCGTGATAATAGTCAGCCAACTTGTTGACAAAACGACCCAAGGTTCATGGCAAAAGTTGTAGTCAGATTTCGATTTAACACACTTCTCACATTGCACTTTTGGTTCGACACATTGATGTCTTCATTCTTTGTATCTGGGGGTCCCAAGACCACCAGCCACTACAAGCAAGAAAGGAAGACAAAAGGAAAACAACGCCCAATGCTAAGTTTCCCAAAGATTCTAGGAGCCAAATCATTAAGCCCAAGCCCTACTTGCTTACATCCCCTGGCCTCCTGCCGCCTAAAACAACAAAAGGAAAAACAACTAGTGGCCCAAAAGCCAGTATGAATGAGACATGTCAATGGATGTTTTTAATATCAGCAAACATAACAGAAAAATCACAGTTCTCTACAAACACTGTGCTTGAAGTAATTTGATACGTTATTTGAATGTCTAGAGTTCATTCACTGAGCGTTGTCCCAGTATGTGATGATACCGTGATGATATTAAACGTATTCCAGGTCCAGAAATCTAGAAATGAAACGGTTTATGGAGCAGCCCCCCACATTGCAAGCCAGTCTTGGCAAAGTGTGTCAATGCATATGGACGCATGGTTCCCCACTTGTGACCAGGCGACGAGCTTTGGAAAAACGTCAAAAGGATTGCAAAGAGCTGCCCCCAGAAGTGGAAGAGGCGGGCCAAGTTTCATAAAACATATTCTTTTGACGATGCCATGAGACTGTAATCGCAGGTCATCGCCGAAGGCACGTACTTGGAATCCTTTCTGGAGGCCGTGGCAACTCTTTTGGAAAGAAACGGAAGCAAAAAAGGAGACCATGCGCTACTAGGAACGAAGACGCTGAAGAATTACTAATTTTAATTCTAATAGCTTCTTGTTACTACTAGTAAGGCACCTGTTACTAGTAGCGATGCACTTGTTACTCCAGATTCGCAAAGTAATGGACGATGTTTTTTGGTGATCCGAGACACTGCTGGTTTTGGAGCCAGACTCAACGCTTCCTTTTTGGACATAGCGGTCTTGTAAGCTTCACAACTGACCCGGGCGCCTGAGGAGTCCACAGTTTTCCACTGTCCGCCAGGTTCAATACCGACCCTCCAACATCCCCCCAAACACTCCTTCGGACGATGACAAACCGCTTGCTATCTCCACCTCCGGGGGCAGGGGAGGGCATGCACGGACCTGCGCACCATCGAGCATGCCAGAAGATGTGCCAAAGATAGAAACGCCAAGAGATCTGCCAGTTCGAATGCCAGATATGACAGAAAGAGTGCCAGAACTTCAGAACAGATGTCAGAAGATATGCTAGATAGAATTCCGGAAAGGATATACACAAATTATGCTAGTAAGAATGCCGGAACGGACGTGCCAGATTGCTTGCCGGAAAGGGAGTCAGAAGATATGCCAGGTAGAATGCAGAAAGGATGTCACAAGATGTGCCAGATAGAATGCCGGTATACTTGGCAGATAGAATGCCAATACATGTGCCCTGTCATCTTCCAAATCGCCTTTGAGTAAGGGGATCACTCGAAGGAGTAATTGTCTTGTTGGCAGGCAGACCATGGGGGCCCAAGCTAGAAGAGTGGGGAATTCCCAACTGACAAACTAAGGCAGCTTGTTTCTAAAAGCTTCTTGTTACTACTAGTAAGGCACCTGTTACTAGTAGCGATGCACTTGTTTCTAATAGCTTCTTGTTTCAAATAGTGATTATATATTGTGCTAATGCGTGTGCAGCTTTGAAATTGTTGCCCCTGACGTGAGGCCTTTGATGGGCAGAGCTTCCTCCTCCACAGCGAAGAGATTGCTCCAAGCCACGAGTACCGGCTCGCGCTGGAGGTTTGTGCCCAAAAATTTCAGACAGTATCCGATGTGCTTGGCACACTCAACATTTGTATGACCAGATGCCGGGAGATTGAGTGTGTAATTAATTGCCACGCTAGTAGTAACAGGTGCCTTACTAGTATTAACAAGAATCTACTAGGAACAAGTGCCTTACTACTAGTAACAATAAGAGTTGACGCACCAAAGGTGAACTCTGGTGGAGCCTACTGGAAAAGCATTCCAGTCGAGGACCCGCCCAAATCATCAATGGAATATTTTCCAGTTGTTTTGTTTCCTGCTTCGTGGTGAGCCCACAACTACTCCCAGGAAGGGGCTGCAGTTCGGCACAATGTTGAGACAGTCACGGCTTCCTCCCCAGCAGAGGGTCTTCGCCTAAGTTCAAGATCAAGTATTTGGTGCTTATGTAAGTTTTCTTGCAGACACATTTTTTTGCAATGAGAACATGACATACTATTTTGCATTTTCTAGACTTTTTTCTGATAGACACAAGGGATAGGAAGGGTCCCTGCAAGGGATAGTTACGTCTGAGGCCCAACAAAGCCTTGCAAGTTTCCTTCACGTTGCGAGACAAGTTTTAAGCATGTCACCAAACCATCAACTGTTTGAGGTTCCATGAGTATCATTTCCCAGTTTGGTGCTGCGCAGAGAGGAGCCGTCGCCAACATAGGAGTTTCAGAAACCATGAAAAGATCAAGATGCCATGATCCTATCATTTATTTAACCCAAGGTCTTTGTGTGGCGTTGGCAGCACATCTTGGATGCGGGTCCTTACAAACTACCTGACTGGCTGGCCCTTTTCCAAGTTTGCTTGGTGCCTTTGGTTTGCTTGGTTTGCTGTTGCTGAGGAGAAGGCTTTAACTCTGGAAGGCCTTTCAGACTTGGTCTAGAGTGTCTAGGATCCGAGCAGAAAGGGTTTGAAAGGAAGAAAAGAGCATTTGGAGTGCAGCATTGGCACGCAAGGAACAGTAGCAAAGGAAAGAATGCTCACACAGCAAGAAAGGAAGGGGAATACCACAGTGAACCCCAAAAAGCAGTTGCTACCGTCCACTTACCTGTTTGTTGTCACTCTTGCTGCCTTCTGTCCATATGAGCACAGTGGCACAGGTCACGATCCGCTGCGAAAGCTGCAGACGGAATTAGAAGCTGTGCTTCGCTGGGAGCATCAGGCTCATCAGATCGTTGCGGCGAGAAATGCCTACTGTTTATTGAGTTCGAAAGAAATGAGTTTCACTGTTTCTTTGGTGTGAGGTGCAGCTGGAGACGTGTAAATACGTCAAACAGAACAATGAGATCAAGGAGCCTTTCAGCCTTTTCTGTCTAGGTGGAGGCCATCGCTATTAGGTTGGAGGCCATTGCTACTAGGAGCAAGGACGCTACTAGGGGCTCCTGGCCTTACTACTAGGAGAAAGAAGCTACTAGGAGCAAAGGGCATCGCTACTAGGAGCAAGGACGCTATGAGGTTGGAGGCCATTGCTATGGTTCCTTTCAGCCTTTCCTCTCTAGGTCCGGTACCGTTCTTTGCGAGCGGTTGGGCCACTTTGCGTTTTGCCTCCGATGTGGCCAATGTCGTGAGGACATGTACATTCGCGAGGCCGCTGTGAAGCGGGTACAGAGTGATGTTGCACAGGGTGAACTTGCCACGGCGACTGAGAAATTGGCAACCTAACAGCAAGAACGCTACTAGGGGCTCCTGGCCTTACTACTAGGAACAAGGACGCTACTAGTAACAAAGGGCATCGCTACTAGGGGCTCCTGGCCTAACAGACTCTTTCTTTTGCCTTCCACACTAAGCTGCATAGAGTAACCACTTGCCACTTGCTTTCTCTCAGATCAGAGTCTGACCTTGTTCATAGGAACAACTGGAACCTGCCTAAAAAATGGTGAGAAACACAGGGGTTTTGGAGGCTTTTCTTGTACCTCATTAAGGAGACGGAACACCAAAGGCTGCGCTGTTCCTTTTTCTTGTCTTTCGTTTGTTTCTTTTTTTTTTCTCTCTCTCTCTCTCTCCCTGTTTCTTTCCTTCCTTCCTTCCTTCCTTCCTTCCTTCCTTCCTTCCTTCCATTGTCTTACTCCTAAGTCTACTCAAAAGCCGTTGGTATTTTCTTTGAGGGAGCTTGCTTGGGGGTTGCGCTTGTGGTCCCTGATTACGGCAAACATTCAGTGCAAAGCCAACCCTCAACTGGTTTCACAGCAACTACCCACTCAAATGCCTAGAAGCTCATTTCGCAGGACCTGATTCTTTCACCGAGAAATTTTTGCGATGTCAACATGTACGCCTTTATCGCTGTTGGTCTTTAAATACCCTTTACTTGGAATAGTCGTTTTTGTTTTTTAAACCGCTTATATAAACCCGTGCAATCTCGTAGGACCGGGTGACCATCACAGGACATCACTGGGCTCAGATGGTACAACAAGCGTTGAAAATATGCTACCTGCTACAGGCAATCAAGGTCTTCCTCAACGAAGGATCAGTGAACAAGTTCTTTTGTAACATGACATGATATCATGTAAACCAGGCCCTGGCTCCCAACTTGTATGGCCTTTACCTCAAGTTGAGTACAGGTGGAATGTAGACTGACATGCAAAGACATCGACATGGGACCCTGCCTTGTTTCACTTCTTGACTGCAGGCCCGCAAGAGGGTGGGCTGTTGTTGCGTGAAAACATTGCAAGGGTAAACAGATAAATCATCCAGAAGCGTCTACACACTTGCAGGGAAACTTGTTTTTCAGGGAGCTGTGTGCTTTATTCAGAAAGTTACAAGTTTCTACGCTAGTAGTAACAAGTGCCTTTCTACTAGTAACAAGAAGCTACTAGGAACAAGTGCCACGCTAGTAGTAACAAGTGTTCCAAGATTTGTTGCTTGGTTTCTGGTCTTTCGCCATTCTGAGCATGCAGGTTTTGCGTCTTTGGCCATCGGAAATCGATCACCAAGGGGTGGAAGCCTGCAAGAAATGTGCTTGGGTGCCTTTGGCTGAATTTTCTGCCTTTGGCTGTCAGAAGACCAGCATTCTTTGGCATAAGCAGACAGACTCCCATGGACCCGATATTTTTTTTCCTACTCAAAGGAGCCCAGCGCCGTGCAGCAGTTTGTGCAGTGTGGAACTATCACCCCTCCACTATGCTTCCATTTCAGTGAAACTTCCAATCTCCGCAGCAACTGCAGCTGGGGTGTGCAATTAGCTTCTCCCATGGGCAAAATCACCAAATCCATGCTGCAGCGAGAGGGAAACTCTAGTGCTGTTTGCGCCTTGCGAGTGACGACGAAAGGAACTGCACGGGCATGGTTCTCAGCTTTTAAGCATTTCTTCGTCAACGAGTCAGCGTCGTTAGTGCTGCTTTCACAATCTTTCACATCATCACATCGTGCTGAACCTTTGCCCACTTCAGTGAAAAGAAATCGCGCAAGCTGTGACTGTGGAAATTCATGCAATGCGTGTTAGCGCATCGCTATTAGGTGCAACGTGTGTTAGCGCAAGAGTTTGTACCCGCTCTTCTTACCGCACGCCCTGATCAAAGTGATACGACAAGAACAGCTCACCACATCGATCTCGCGCAACTCGCAGATGTTTCTAATAGCTTCTTGTTACTACTAGTAAGGCACCTGTTACTACTAGCGTGGCACTTGTTTCTAATAGCTTCTTGTTGCTTGTTTGTTCTGTCCCAAGTGACATCGGTCCGTGACATTGATCTTTTTCACAAGAGAAGTCATGATTGGTGTTGAGTTGATTGCGCACGCGAGAGCAATTCTCATGTTTTCATGCAGCCTGCAACCTGTTGATGTCGCGAGTTAGCATCAGCTGCACGGGAGGGTGCTGTTTCTGCCGGGCCTGGTGGGGTGTTCGGCAGATGAAGTTGAATTGGTTTGATGGGCACAGAAGAAAAACTGGGCATGCCAAAGTTGCACACTCAGGTGGAAGGGCTTGATGCCAACCTCTTCGCCAAGGGCTTGGAAACTTCGCGTGTCTTTCTGGTTTGACAATGGAAGAGGTTGGAGGCCATCGCTACTATTTTGGAGACCATCGCTTTTAGTCCATCACCAGAATGTTGGAGGCCATTGCTATTAGGAACAAGAAGCAACTAGTAACAAAGGGCATCGCTACTAGGAGCAAGAAGCTACTAGTAGCTCCTGGCCTTACTACTAGGAACAAGAAGCTACTAGTAACAAGTGCCACGCTAGTAGTAACAAGTGCCTTACTAGTAGTAACAAGAAGCTACTAGCAACATCAACAGAGCCAACCGCCTGAGACCGGGCGGAATGTCCTCGTGAAGAAAGTGCCGTACGATGCCGACCACACCTACGTGTTGCACTGCAACATTGCTCGACGTCAAGTGGGTGATGCAGACAAGGAGCAAAGGGCATCGCTACTAGGAGCAAGGATGTAGACAAGGAACAGAAGTTTTCAGGGTTCCCGCTAACCTTCTGAGAGAATGACTCGTGTTTGCAAGACTGGTCAGGAACAGCAGGGGCCGCCATACAGGTTGACCACATCCTGGCAGTTCGAGCCTAAATGTTTGAGTTGCCATGTGGAAGGGACATGAACCAATCGAGAACAAAACAGCTAAGTAACTCCAAAGAGAGAAAGTCAGACCTACTGGCGATGTCCTCCAACCTAAGAGCGATGGCCTCCAGCAAGTGTTGTCTGCCAGGTGGTTCCAGGACTCGACCGAAAAGGTGCGGTGCAGAAGTCGACTGCGAACGGAGCCTTTCACGAACGTCCCCCGTTCAGGCGGAGCCTTCCTTTAATGGCGCAGACTCCCCAGGAGCAAGGACGCTACTAGGGGCTCCTGGCCATACTACTAGGAGCAAGAAGCTATTAGCAACAATAAATAAATAGAACTTCTTTGAACATCTTTCTTTGGTTCAGTTGGACTGGACAGTGATGCGCGACACGGACATAGAACGTTCTCTCACTGATCTGCAATGCAGAAAAACAATGATCTTGGTGGATTAGGTTGGAGGCCATCGCTAGTAATTAAGTTGGAGGTTATGCCTACTAGAGTGGAGATTTAGATTCCAGATGTCCCATCATCATAACTTGGTGTACAACTTTGGTACTACAGGGGTATCGGATTTTCGTAGGCCAAAATTGCATTTAGGCGTTCTTTTAGGTCTTGATGATAAAACGTCTTAGTCGATCGCGGCTGCGTTCAATTGTGCGGAACTCTGCACTTCTTGCTGAAACATAAGCTAGACTTGCTGTCTTGAGAAACACCAATAGACTCAATAGATGCTTCTCACTTTGTGGCGTTTGGCATCGACCTCGCAACGCGCATCGAAGGGGAAAAAAGGACTCAATAGACCTGCTACTGGGCATCGACCTGAGGTGCAAAGTATAAGTCTGGCTGCTGTACCAGAAACTGCCAGCCCAGGCCGCCAATCTCGAGCTCAAAACTTGAGGAATTGGTTGAATTTATGACTTGGCAGGTGCGGGTGCGTCTCGCCCAGACATTTCGCGCACAAGCGTTCCGGTCATGGAGAAAGGGCCTCAGAGTGCGGCAAGTAGCCTCCAAATCCTTTGCGTTCTATGACCATGTGAGGTCATGTTCGGAGATGAGACCCAGCACTGCTGGTGCTTTGCTGCCCAAGCCTCAAGCAGTTAGCAGTACTAGCAACAAGCGCATCGCTGCTAGTAAGAAGGGCATCGCTATTAGTAGCTAATTTGCTACTCGTAACAAGAAGCTACTAGTAGCTATTTGCTACTAGTAGTAATACAGTAATACATGTTTACTAGTAGCGATGCACTTGCTACTAGTAACAATAAGCTATTTGTAACAAGGAGGTCATTTCTGTTGGCGCTTTGCTCAGTCAGGCCAAGCATGACCCCGTACTCAGAGCTTCCTCGGCCGGGCAGTGCCAACAGCGTGTGCTTCACTCAGAGGAGAGTAATTAGTGCGTTCTTTGTTTTTCCCTTTCTTTCTTTAGACAATTCGTCCCTTTCTTTTCTCTTTAAACAAGTAAAACATAAGATGAGTTGATTTGGTTTGCCCCACGATCAGGCGCGGTATAAGATGGTAGAAGTCCTTGATGAATGGGAGACATGTTTTTGGACGCTTCACGGTGAGTTTGATGGTGAGGCCAGGTGTTGCGTATGCGACCTTTGGGCTGCCTACTGGACAGCCTGAATCTCAGGTCTGAAGCTACTAGCAACAAGGGCATTACTACTAGTAACAAGAAGCTACTAGGGGCTCCTGGCATCGCTACTAGGAGCAAGGACGCTACTAGGGGCTCCTGGCCGTACTACTAGTAACAAGAGCCTTAGGGACCGACCCGACCGACCTCTTTTGTTTCTTTTCGATATCTGACAACACAGGGCGAGTCAAGGCCCTGTAGGGCCTTTGTCCTGAGGTCAGGATACCCAAGCCTGGCGGGTGGGTATCCCTACGCGTTGGATTCCAAGAGGAAAACCTCTTAATGTTGGCTGATTTTTGTGAGAAAGAAAAGCCACTAGGAGCAAAGGGCATCGCTACTAGGGGCTCCTTGCCTTATTACTAGGAGCAAGAAGCTATTAGAAGCCATTAGAAACAATAATTCAATATGAAGTATCCTAAAATGTTGCCCTTGACCAGCTGTCTCGGTTCCAAGGGTGGCTGCGGCCAAGTCTATGCCGTATCCAGCCTCGTCTCGAATGCAGGTGCGTCAAGCGATCTGAAAGGCGTAGCAACTCCCAAAAGACTCTTAGGTTGGAGGCCATCGCTTCTAGGTTGGAGTAATTGGGCAGAACAAAGGGCATCGCCACTAGGAGCAAGGACGCTACTAGGGGCTCCTGGCCTTACTACTAGGAGCAAGGACGCTACTAGGAGCAAAGGGCATCGCTACTAGGAGCAAAGGGCATCGCTACTAGGAGCAATGACGCGTTTGTTTTTGAAACGGAGCATGTGGCAGTGGGAGCTGAAACATGCCGACATCACGATCATTGCAGATGCGATCTGGGCCAATGCCGCTGCCAACCCCAATGGCAGGTCATGTGAGCTGCGTCCTCGTCCGGCAAACTTTTTGTGGCAATATATTTTCCCGAGTAGGGAGGAACGGTGATGTTGAGCCGCAGCATGTTTGGGAGCAAGGTAGATGTTGAGATATGGAAAGACAACAGACCAAAAATGAAAGAAACGACAACATGTTGTTTTTTGTTTGAACTTTGTTTCAAGTTAAACGTTCCAAGCTGAGTTCCAGTTTTTATTCATTTCATTCAAAAAGCATCGAGGCCCAGGTGTTGCCGCCTCTCCAACGCTTGCCTTCCCGTGTGAGGAGCTCAGCCAAGAACGGGATAGGGACAAGAAGCTGAAAAAGTAAGTTCAATTCCCAGCGTGAACGTGAACGGGTCGCCAAAAAGCATTTTCATTTCTGAGCACCACGCCCTTTGGAGTCTCGTGTTTTGGTTTTGAACGGAATGTTTCGTGTTTTTTGGATGAACAGCAGCAGGTGTTGTCTTTTGAAAAGAGTTGGGTGGAAAGGTCCCCATCCTTCGCACCGCCGGCTTGGAAAACATTTGAGTCTTAGACTCTTGCAGCGCTTTTTCAGAATTGACATAAAGAAGTCTTCTCAACGTCTCCACTTAAGTCTTCCCATGTCTTCCCTGTGAAGCATCCTGCAAAAACTGACGAATTGTTTGCTCCCCAAGGGCGCTAGAATTCCTGCTAGCTGGGTGCTAGCGACCAGCAGATACTCGACTCATACTCATACTGCAATTATATTCATACAGCAAATATGTTTAATACCATTTTTTCCATAGTACATTTGTCCTTAATTGTCATGCTCCTTTTCATCCTCTTCAATTCCTTCAGCAAAAGGGTTGAAGATGCATCGAGGAGCTGATTGCATTGACAACTTTCTTCACTCAAGTTCTGCCACTTCAGCTGCGGGGGGGGGGGTAGGAGCGATCGGACGCTACTAGGGGCTCCTGGCCTTACTACTAGGAGCAAAGGGCCTTACTACTAGTAGCATGAAGCTATTAGAAACAAGAATTAGTATTAGAATTTCATTAGAATTAGAAGCAAGAGAAGCTACTAGGACCTTTTCGATATACTCTGACAAACATGGACTCGGATCCATCACTTGTTAGGTAGGGCTCCTGCATGGACTTGTGCATGTCCTTCAGCTTCAGCCCATGGTCTGACTCTGCGCCAACTTGTTTCACCTGTTGGGTTTCAGAGAAACTGCTCGTCATAGGCCGATGTTTCCTGAGGGCACTGACCAGGTCACGCTCACTGTCCACTCTGAACACGAAGCAATCTCACACATTGAGGGCCACACTGATCTCGTGGTACGTTAGGATTTTCCAGGAAATCTGTTGCTCCTGGAACACAGCATCGCAGGATCAAGGACCCCACTAATTGTACACGTTCGCCATGATCTTAATTGTCTCAGCTCAGTTCTATTCTATTAAGATATATAAAGTATCTTTAGATCATACAACTCCATGTCTCATCACTTCGGTATTGACTCAATTGGTCAGGGCCACTTGTATATGATCCGAAAAAGGGCGTGAAGAGATCTGACATCACACCTTGCAAACCTTACTAAAGTCGCTTTTGTTGGCACCATTTTTCAACTTAACCACTTGCACAAAAGCGGATAGGAGCAAGGTATTTCTGTTTATGTAGCTCATATGTGTGACATAGTTTGCTTGGAGTGTTCTCCAACCTAACAGGAATGGCCTCCAATCTAAGCTTCTTGTTCCTAGTAGCGATGCCAGGAGCCCGTAGTAGTGTCCTTGCTCCTAGTAGCGATGGCCTCCAATCTAATGAGCACTTTATGTCCTCAGGTGCTGCGACCCCAGTTGGAACGCGGTGAGGCCCGACATTCAATGCGCATGAATCTAAGAGCATGAGCCTCTCACGGCTGAAAGTGTCACTTCTGTACAGCAAAGCCATGCTTGACATCAACGCTTGGCAAAGCTTGGCGTTTTGGAGAAGCCCGGTGCTTCAACAGCCCGGCTAGGTAGTGCGAAGAATTGCATTCAATATGCTTTTAAGCTCCTAGGAGCAAGGACGCCACTAGGAGGTCTTTGATCGCTACTAGTGACAAGAAGCTACTAGTTAGCTTTTACAGAAACAATGTGTTGGTTTCAACGTGAATCGCGCTGCCTGGACGCTCTCACAAGCTCGCAGTGACAGAAAAAGGGTGAGGGACATGTAGCAGTTGCCTTTCACATCCTCAAGCTCCGGCATCGAAGCCGAGATTCAGTCGAACTGGTCATAGCGAACGCAAGGCTTAAGGCTGTTTTACTTCGAGGGCCCTCGTGGTTCGGATGTTTCGCTTGTCGAGTTACTGGTGGAACAGAGAAGGAAAGAACAGTGATGGAGAAAGGACGGAAGAACATAGAGAAAGGTGATAATTGGAAGGAACAAAGGTCCAATAGTAGAAAGGTCGAAAGAGAAGAAGAACATACAGATATGTCATATGTGGACAACAGTTGTTGCAGTCAGCTTGATCGGTATCTCGATTCGCCAACTTCGTTTGTGCCGTCGAGCGGTCCATGACATCTCCGTTGACAGTTGACAGTGTCCTGCACCGAGAACTCTCGGCTCTTGGATGGGATGTTGTTGCGGAGTTCTTGAGTTGGACTGAACATGATTGAAACACCTGAATTTTTTAAACGAAGCGGCAGTACATGTTCTCCAGATTTGTTTCACGTTCTTCTGCAATTTGGGATGCTCCACAGGCTGGCAAGGCCGACGAGGGCGAGACATCTTTCTCTGAGGTCACATCGTAGTGTCGCTCCGATTTGAAGAGTTTTTAACTTTAGAAGATCCTTTCCTTAGAGTCTCTCACAGTGAAGGACTTGGATTCCATTGAACGTTTGCTATGTTGTAACGGTCATATCGGCAGGATGGAGGTGATGGAGACTGAGACTTGCGAAATGTTGCGGAGCGAAAACGTGCGAACATTCAATCCGGTGGTGTCCCTGTCATTGATGGTGTTTGGTGCAGCTGGGCGAGATAGCAATCCACAGTCTGTCAAACAAGTCTTATTTTTCCTCGCCTGACTACTTTGTTTCTTGCACCCCTTGGCCCAGGATATCCACAAAGTAGCATGAGTGCACGCAATGCAAACGATGGGCTGCAGCAATGATCCAGAATGACTAAAATCTGTGGAGGAGAAAAAGGGTCCCCTTTGCTGATTTTTGGGGTTTTGTCAAAAGCGACCCACTTCGATGATCGTTACTTTGAAGAGTTTTAGCCAAAATCAGTCCGGTGCTGAATAGTCAGAGTTTCTATCAAGTCAACACCTCAATTCTGGAGTTTCCACATTCGCTTGTAAGTCCATGCATAGGCTCGGAGCTAATTTTTTCGACTTTTACCATTTCTTGATCACTTGTCCGCCTGCAGCATTGGCTACATTTGGGTGCTTGAGCAAGTCACGATAGTCGCGTACTCTAGCTACGACTGCTTGCAGCACGGAACTGCAAGTTTGCAGTTTGTTATTTTTTGTTGTTTTGAGAGACTTTTTGCCTGCATTTCTTCAGCTGTAGTCTCATTGTTGGAAAGTACCATGTGGTTGATGCTACCAAGACGTTCAACAAAACACACATGTGCAGCAAGGAAACCACCGCAGCAGAAGCAACGAGAAACTCTATCACCAAACCTTTGCATAATTTATAGTGTGCATTCAAGATGGCCTGCTTCAGCTGGCTGCTGCACCAAAAGGCCGTGCTAGTTGTCTACTAGCCTTGCCCGTCGGAGATCATTGAAGTTCACCTGTTTACCTGCTCTTTTTTGGTCTTTGGTGAGATTGGGCTGATTCCTCGCCGCCAGATTTCCTGTCCTTACGGCGCTGCTTTCGCAAGGATCCTCGAAGAGGCGACAAGAGAAAGGTTCAGTTTTGTCCTTTTTTAACCCAGATTGAAGTAGAAAATTTGACGAAGATGGTTTCAACCCAGATGTGGTTATGTAATTGGTGTTGAACTTCTAGACTCAGACTGTCAAGGAGTGGTTCGCCTGATTCAGCAGATGTTTCGCATGATTCTCCGAGGACAAAAGGCAAAAGCACGAGCATGCTGCAGCGAGAAGGCGCTAACCACTTCCAAAACATGTTCTGGTGTCGTGCGAGCCGGTGTTTGTAGCAGCTTCTTTGTGCCAAGGTCGAGCATTCATCTTTACTGTGTATTCGTGATCATAGTGGATGCTGCATGCTACAGATCCTGCAGAAGTATGTTTTATGATGGCGTGGTGTTTTACATCAGCCCAATGCGCTGTATGCGCGCCGGAAAGTGCGCTCTCTAGCACTCAAGTTGTCGTAATGGTTTTTAGCGAATCCTGAAAAGATGCTTAAGGATTGAACAAAGCCTTGAAGAGCAAATCCAGTGGTGTGCTTCAAACAAATTCTTGGCTGGCAGTTCGGCAATTTCACCCTGTTCGGCAGCGTGCCAAATTGGTTCCACAGAGGACTGGGTTTTGGATGTGAAGCAAGCGTTTCACATTCGCAGGAGTGCAGGGCAAAAGCAACAGTGAAACTGGATTTTTACCGAATTGTCTTGTAGGATAGCTCCTCTCTATTTCAGAAGGCCGAGGCGGATAAAGCCATTCATTTCAGGGGGGTGGCAATGTGTGGATGAGGGTTTCAACATCCTTGTCAGATTCGAGCCTCAGATTTGGCCAGGCAGAAGCAGTTGAGTTGATCCCTGCTTGGCTACATGCCAACCGGGTTCTATATTTGGTTCCAAAGCCGCTGGTAGGATTGCAAGCACTCGCTCCAGCTTGCCGAATTCGAGGCGCAGGTGGACGAAATTGAGGACCGACCTCGATCTTACTGCTTGGTTGTGGCGTATTGTGGCAGATGGTGACTCTTTTTCTTACGATTGGAGGTTGCAGTTTTCTTTGATTGCTAAAGCCTCTGACTTGACTGAGTTTGCTGTCAAGCGTGATACGATTCATGGAGACTGCGTCCTTGGTCCTTGGTTGTTCCCGAGAGCGTCTGCGAAGGGTTCTTCGTAAAAAAACATCTGCAGAACTATGTCTCATCTACATCTTCACATCTTCACATCCTCACATCTACATCACATCTACGTTCTCACCTATATCTCTGCTCATCTGCACATCTACATCTCTGCTCATGTTCACATCCTCACATCCACATCTTCACATCCTCACATCTACATCTCACATCTTCACCTCTCGCTCTTCTTTACTTTCTCTCTTAAGGCCGGGGGCGGTGCCGCCGGAGCACCACGAAACGCAACCCTCTGCGGAGATCGTGCGTGTCGAGTGCGCGAAATGCAGTCCGGCGCAACCCTGAGCATCCGCTATTGATTACAATCAAAAAGAACAAGTTCTCCTCAATTGATTTTTTACGGGCCGGCAAAAATCAATTAGTGTTGTTTTAAAAAAATTTGGTTTTCCAATTGATTTGCTAATTGATTCTCCAATTGATTTACTAATTGATTCTCTAATTGATTCTGCAATTGATTTTTCAACTGATAACTATATATGGTTTTTGCAAAAACTTACAGAGAAACTGATAATTATATATTGCTGTTGGTATTGAACTTACAGAGAAGCTGATTGGTTCTCAGATAGACATCCCTGCAAGCATGATGCTCAAGCTTTTGGCTCAAATTTGACTACACATGGCATGCCAAAACATGCAGCAACACTATAAGCAACACTATCAGCAAGTCCAAGCAAGCAGTCACATACAAGCAAGAACAGCAAGTGTTGTGATTGAAACTGGTGCCTGCAGAAGCTGTTGAAAAGGCCTTTGGAAAAGGGCATTGTGGGTTTGGGAAAGCTCTGTGGTATATAGGGCTTCGAAAAGTTAATGTGAAAAGGGGGGGCCAGGCATGCCAGCAAGCCCATGATCGATTCTGGCTTGATCTACTCTGCTTTGGCCCCACATATGGACATAGTAGGGAATTTAGGAAATTATGAAAAGATTAGTAAATCAAATGGGCCAGATTACCTAGGATTGGCCACTTGTGTGGACATGTGGAGGGCCCTTCTAAAAATTGAACCAAGTGGAGAACTGCATCCTCAGCCAATGAAGGTTGCCCTGATCAGCTTGCTGAGTGAGCATGGGCACCTGAACAAAGCCAACTACACAGGCCAAACATGGGTTTCCCTTCGAGTGGAAAGGCTGTCCACTGTCATGACCCACCTGAGAAAGATCAAAAGAGAAGGCACATTGACAGCTGCAGCTGCCAGGCTCACCAGAGAGCAGTTCAATGACCTGCAGGCAGGCTTGCAGCTTATGAAGTTAAGAGATGATGGCTTGGGAAAGGGTGCTTTGGAAAAGGCACCTGACCCTTCCCTGCCTTTGGTGCTTGCTGCAGATGCAGAACAGACAGGCTTGGAAAAGCAAGAGGGGCCTGCAAACAAGAAGCTCGAGCAGAAGGACAGTGATGTGTCCATGAACTCTCTGGGCTTGCCTGCCATGTTTGACAGCTCTGAGAAGACATCAGTTTTGGAAAAGACAGGTGATGCCATGGACTTGGAAAAGTATGGTGAGGCAAGCTCTTCTAGTCGCCCCTGTCTAGGACTAGTGTCAAGGAAAAGATCAGGCAGCAGGGTTCCTGAGAGACAAGAAAACTTGCAAGACAAGTTGGGTTACACTGCTACTGCAGCCAGCAAGAAACCCAAAGCCAAAGCAAAGACAGGTTTGGAAAAGCCTGTCAAAAAGTCACTGAAAAAGAAAAGCAAAAGTTCAGAAATCAAAGCAGGGGCTAGTCAAGATTCACAAAACAATGGCCAAGAGCCCAAGAAGGGCTTACCTCTTGGGGAGCACAGGTTTGGAAAAGCCTCGCCTCATTGTGGAGGTATCTGAGAAGAGGTGCCCCCAGTTTGAAGCAGTGATAGATGAAATTAGAGCTGCAATGGAGAAAGACCACTTGACAAAAGCAGAGGTTCTTGATCTGAGGGAAAAGCTGTGTGCAAAGCATGGTTGCTAAAGAGGCTTGGGCAGCTCTTGAAAAGCAAGTGGGTAGCTTGGAAAAGCTTGAGTCCAACTGCAAGTGAGGAGGTTTGGAAAAGCCTTTCAACCAAATGGCTTTGGAAAAG